TTCGGGGTTTTGGGGTTTAGGGTTTGTAAGGCCTTCGTCTCCTTTAGACTTCAATGGAGGCCCTACAAAAGACTCGATTCCTAAATCCTCCAGCCTAATCCCTTACCTAATCCCTTCAAGGTCTTAGTGTATGAACCCTAAACCCTAAACCCTAAACTATACCCTAGGGTTCAGTAACGCAAGTTTCTTCTAAACCCAATATCCGAACTCCCGGACCAGGGAGCAACTTCTTATGGGTGTTGGGGGGTTGAGGGTGTAGCTGCCATGCTTTAGAATTTATGGGGTCTAGGGTGGACGGTTCAGCTTTTGGGGCTTTCGGGTTCAAGGATGTAAGGTTCAGGGATGAGGGTTTAGGTTTACCTGGACCCTGAAGAACCTACCTTGTTAAGGACTTATATAAGAAATCATAATAAGGAACCCTAAAAAGGGAGGTTCTTTAGGGTCCAGGTAGGGTTTGGGGTATACTTCAAAGAGTTTGGGCCTCAAGGTCTAGACTAGAGCTTTAGTTTAGGGTTCTTATAGGGGTTTATGTGTTTTTGTTACACAGGCTTTCTTCATGCTTGATCAACGAGAACTTTAGGGTTTTAGGTTTTGGGGATGAAGAAGCAGAGGGCGACCATCAGCAGAGTTCTTGGCCCCAAGCCTCAAGCCGAGGTTCCGCAGAATCTGGGGCCTCAGTAGTTGCCAACACTACGGCTGATGATCTAAATCCTGCATTACCCATAATAAGGAATATACCATAATTCCCATAGTTGAGGGTCCTTAAGGTAATACAGGATTTTGTACTATCAACAGCATTGTGGGTTTTCCATGTTATGGTTATAGTAGAATATACCCCCCCCCAAAATCCCAAAGCCCTACTCTAATCATTGAGGCCCCAACATTATCCCCAAGACTGTTTCAGGCAACACCACGCTGGGCTGCTACGTCATCCACTTTGTTTTCCGAGATCGCATGACCGAACTTTTCCAGGCCTTCTCGAGTTCCGGGTCGACATAGCCTGTAGGTTTACTAGGTTTATGGGTTTAGGGTTTAGGGAGTTTATAGGGTTTAGGGAGTAGGGACTAGGTTGTAGGGAGTTTAGGGTTTAGGGACCGGGACTCTGCAA